GCTGGACCTGGGCTCTAGCTCCCCCTGGCTGAATATCCAGGAGGAGCCAGGCAGCTTTTTTTTGCCCCAAGTGGCACAATTTGCTCCACAACAAAGTGCATGTCTGAGCACGTGCGCTGAAGCAAAAAGCCCCGGCTCAAATTTGCACTGCTTCTATTTGAGCTGCTGCAAGCGCACGTGCTGCAAGCGCACCTGTAAAGCTGAGATATAATTATGTCAGCCAAAATATAAAGTAATAATGAGACTTTCTTCTAACTGAGAAATAACGGGTGTGTACGTTCCTTCCCCAAATACACAGAGTCTGCGTGTTAGCTGTCAAATAGCTCAAATTTTAGGGAGATTTTAACTTGTAAATCTAAAATATTTTACATAAACATAAGGGTAAATATAAACTAATGACCAATAGAGAGAGGCAAGATAATTAAACTAGGTAATAATATTTAGCTCACATCCTATAAGAGCCAGGAAGACAGAAAGATTTTTTTCTTTTTCCTGTCAGATGGGTCAGCAAGTTTTTCTCATACACAGCTTCTCTGAAAAACTAAGGCCAGGTACAGACATTATATTTTTACTGGTATAAGTGATTGGAAACCAGTCTATATACCCAGAACAGAAGTTTGGTGCAAATAGACTGGTTTAAAAATTGCAGAACCCAATCCAAGATAAACCCGGATCAATGTGCACTCATACTTAATTGATTTAGGTTAGACCAATGAATCGAACTTCTGTACCAGATCCCGTAGCAATTTATGTTAGGTCTCTGTCCCCAGAATCCCAGGCACCTTTGTGGCCTCCCCACTAGCACTCGCCCTGTACTTGGCTGCTCTGAGAAGCACCCAGCAGGCCCCATTCCTGAGCTCTCACAGAACCAAGTAAGCACAGACCCTTTCCAACACAGACCTTTTCCGCAGCCCTGCCTCCTGCCTCTGGCCAGCTGCCAGCAGGCATTGTTGAGGGTGGGGGGAACAGAGACATCTATGCCCCTGCAGAAACCCTACCACAAAGCACCTGACCATGTACACAAAGTCCGGGCACTAAGCTCAGGAGAATCACCACAAGCCGGAGTAGCACCACAGAGTCTGACTGGGCTGCCGGGCACAAGCAAGCATTCCTGCGTCTCCCTCCCCTATTGTCTGTCAGTTACACCATATTGTCTGTCAGTTACAGACAACTGTCAGCTGTAGACAGGAAGCACAGAGTGTGGGATGGCGGGGCATGGGTGACTGGTGCCTCCTGGTTTTGGGGGGGCACCAGCTGCCGATCACTGATGTGGGGGGGGCAGGGTCCCCAGCAGCCAATTGTCACCGTTGGCAGAAGTGCTGGTGGCAAACCAGAAGCACCGGTAGCAAACTGGAAGTGCCACCGATGCTTCTCAAGGGGGGAACCAGCCAGCACTCCCCACTCCCTGGCCAGAGGGGGCCAATTTTAGGGGGGCATATGCCTCTATGTACCCCATAGCATTGCCTATGGGGTGGGGGGGGATGCTCATGACTGGCAGTCTGGTTGGGCTCTGTGGTGCTGTGCCTGCTCATGGGAGTTCTCCTGGGCTCAGTGTCAGGTGTGTGTGTACATCATGGGGTGCTCATAACAGGGTTCATGCAGGGACTCAGCCTGCCTGCAGTTGACAGATACCTGTGGATGACGGACAATGCAGCAGGGAAGGAGGGAATGCTCGCCCATGCCTGCTAGACAATCAGGGGTGGCCCGGATGCTTGGTAGTCTCTTACATACCAGGGAGCCTGTGGGACCTTCTGGGAGGCATGCAGGTTTTCCCCCCAACCTGCTGGTCTTGGCCAGTGCAGGCAGCCTACATACCCCCTGCCCCCCTCCAAAGGGCAAATGTGTGTTCTGTTCTCTACTGATCCTACCTACACCCATTAAAGAAAACCATGTAACTTAGATATATTCCACCTCAGGCTTTTTGAATGTCTGTACTTAGTGTAAGTGAAAGTGGCTTCTGATGAATTTCTGCCTCCTAAGACAGGCTAAGCCTGTCAGGAAAAGACAAGAAATATTATGCAACTTCCACCATATGATGTGATTTTTTGTGAACTGGCCAGATAAACCAGTAACAAACTGAATATTCATGGTAAATCTGATAAAAGTTCACAAATATCCAGAGACAGAAAAAGTTTGTGAAATATTTTTATAATTATGAACAAAATTTGCTTCTATTTTATGGGCACTTTTGGAATGTGAATCAAGGTTGATTTTAAATACCTCTAGACCTCACAGCTCTCCTATTAATCTCTAGTTTTGTGTTTGTTAACAGGTCCTTATATGTTTCAGATACTAATTCCAAACTGATGGGTAAAATGGCAAGCATTCTGAGCAATTCTGCAGAATTGAGTTTTGAACTGAAGATATTAGTATTATATAAAATGTTGTTACATTATTTTCTTCATTCCAATTGTTTTCTTCAGATGCAACATAATCATTACATTAATTATAAACTAACAGACAATTCTGAGACCTATACTTACTCTAGGAAGTAACATTACCCAAATGACTTGTATAAAAATTCTCTGAACTAGTAAGAGAAGAAAATAATAAAGTTCTTATAATATTCCTTTGCTCAAATAAAATTAAGAGTATTTTCTTAGTTGATTGTTTAACATCTTACTCCTGTCACTTATTTCCTTTCATCCTTATTTTTCTTGTTTTCCTTTATTCATATTTCATTTCTTGAACTCCTTATCTTTCTAATCCCTTATCCTTTACGTTCTTGCTTTATCTCTCATTCCACCATTTTCTTCTATGTTTCCTAAGCCTATCTCCTTTCCCATGCTAGGCTCCCCAGGCTTTTCATGCCCTCTGAACCCTTTTCCCTTTCCCCCAGTTCCATACCTTTCCCATCTCTTTCATTTTCCTTACAGCAATCTGCACAGAACAATACCAGAAGTAAAATTGGCAAGCTGACAAAAAGAACAGTTGGAAAGAAAAGTTTACTCAAAGAAAGAGAGGCTTATTTCTTAAAAAAAAATATATCTATGGGAAGGGGTTTGCCAAATCATCTGCTTTTTCAGATGTAGATTATTGAGCCTGTTTCTACAATGCGTGTGTGGAAAGGAACAAAAAGGACTTTCAGACTACCAGATGACTTGAGTATACCTAGGTAGGATTCTGATGTGGAGCAGGACATCAGTAACTCTGAAATGAGTATTCTGTGTTATGTAAAAATAGCAATCTGAAACTAAGAACTCATGTAAAATAGCACAAGCTGGGGATACAAAGGTTTATCTTGCTTCATTTTTACAAAGGTATTGCAGGTAATCTCCAAACAGTGAGATAAACTAATAATTATGTTAAAATGTCTATAATCCTGTTTATCAGCTACCTGAATAATCTGGGCGGAGTTATTAAAGAAAAGGAGGATGGTGTGAAAAGGGCTAAAACAAGATAAAGGTGTAGCCTCTCTTCTCCTGGCTCATTACAACCGGAGAGGCTTCAAATAATTAATAACTGGAGTGAGAGTTGATTTATTTTGGTATTGATTTTTATTGTTTGAAAATAAGGCAAAGTGTATGAAGTGAACTGTGGTTAGGACTTTTATTCTACCTCCTTTCCCCTTGCTGGTGAGCTTGAATCTTGATTTATTGTGACTTACTGAAAGAGGTCCTCTGGTAAGAATTCGTCAGCATCTGTAAGTTACTCTTTCAATCAGCTTTTATATCCTGAAGTGGCTTGACTTGCATAGATTTTTAAAAGTTATAACAAGTAGTTAATTAAGTCAATTTTGGGGTCTACTAAACTTTATGGTGTCCAGTTCATATCTCTGTGGATTAACACAGTAGAATCTAACCACTCTGAAAAAAGAAATGTGTGAACTCACCAGTAGGTCAGTATCATTGACTTTTTGATAAAACTTTTTCAAAATTAAGGTGGTTTTCAAATACACACATTTTTAAAGGAGGACAGATGACAGAAGGCACCAGGGTTCAGAGTAAATTACTCAGATCTCTCTCTCACCTATAATCAGCAAGCTACAAAAAAAAATCCTAAAGTTTGATATTTTTGTTGTGGCTTCCTATGTCTTCTAGCAGCCTATCCTGTACATCAAAGGTCACAAAAGAACACAATGAGTCACTAGAAACGCCAGAAGAATGCTGTATGAACAATTATTATACGTAAACTGCACCCTGGTATTTCATGTCTCTGCCAACTCGAAGTAATACAGCCCATTTCCTTTCCCCTACCTCCTCCCTACCTTGCAGTCCTTGCCCATAATAGTAAATAGCTTCTTTATTCTGCTCCAGGAGGCTTGTGTCTTATTTTTTTTTTTTTGCATTCATACTCTTGCATTTTGGGCTGCAGTGATTTGAAGTCTTCTGCTGAAATGTTTTAGGCTCCATCCTGGTTTTCTTTAGCATCAGTGCTGCAGAGTCTCCATACTGCTGCCAGGCTATGCAGCTGAAGACACCATTAAATCACCCTTATTCATTCATTCCTCCTTGATCATCTCCACATCCTATAGCTGAAGAAATCAGTGCAGATCCCTCTGCATCCATTAACTCCATTCAAATCCATTCATATCAGCACAATATAAGCCATACTGGGTCATATAATGTGAGTCAGTGCCAAATAGACCCTTATTTTGGTGGTTTTCACATAGAAGTAATAATGACCCACCAACCTTGGAATTTCATTTTATATTGAAACCCCAATTTTCATACTTTGAGTGTCTGAAAGTGCCAATGACTTGTTTTGTTGCTGTTATGTACCACAGAAGCTGATGGGCATGCTTGTCTTACTTATCATGTGCTCTATGGCTTAATATCTTAGGAAAAAAAGAAAAAAGTAAAGGATTTTATTGACTAAATACTGGCAGGGGGAAACAAAGCAGGAAGTGTTTTTTTGAAGCATATATGACTTTTGTGAGAGTTAATTAGGTAATGCCAATATAAAGTTAGTTTTTTGAATTCATTGTTATTACCTATACATTCAAAGAGCTCTGCAAGTTGTTGAATATTATATGAATTCCACAGGTTGATGTCTATTACCTTTCAGAAGCAACAGTGTTATCTAGAAAAATTCTGATGACAAGCAGTACCAACTGGCATTCTCTCAAGCTTTCTGCAGTAAGAAAAGAAAGGGGGGAAGTATGATAACATCTGAATAAGCTTCCCTGAAGAAAAGTTTTAGTTAAATCATAAGCTTTGTTTTTAGGATTGTATGGCTGTTGCATTTCTGCTTTTCTATCTGGAATGTGAAGGGGAAGGACAGCAGATAAAGATGTTTAACTATTCTCAAACTAATCATATTTTTCTTTATACAACTCTAGTAAAATGTGTGTTTTGAAGTAAAATATTCCTTCATGTTTTATGCCTCAAATCTTGTAGTGTCACCATTAGCAAATGATTTAACTGCATCTTGCTTCAGTTAACATTGATTTACCTAACAGGTAAGTTATCTGTAAGGTTTGCTATCAGACTTAATACAGTGTAGTGTTAAAAGTCTAGTCAGAAGGTCCAGTGTTCTGATCCTAAAGTTGACAGCAATTGAACAACCTACTGAAATGAATGTAGAGACTACAGTGAGCTTTCAAAATACGTATTGCAAGACTGAAATCTTTTGATTCTTGACTCAACTACTGACTCTGTATAAACCATTCAACATCCTGTTTTCACCTGTTTAAAAATAAATTAAAAATAAGGAGACAGTGATCTGTGAGGATTATGGTCCAGTCTTGGAGGAGGCCCATATCATGCCCACAAAACCCCAGTGAAATCATTTTGTTTCCACATTAGTTTAAGGGCAGACCCACCATCAGCTCCTTCAGTGAGTAACATTATTAAAGTTGTTTGAAGTTTGCAGTGGTACACAGTAAGGTGTTTTGGTATCCCTGAATGAAAGCTGCTATAAAAATGCATCATTATTAATAAATAGTTTTAGGGTCAGGTTTTAAGAAGTGTGTGGCATGTTATAAGTTCCTGACTGGTGAGTTTTGCCGACTCTGAAATGCACTTGAAAACCATAATGTGCATTTGCCCATACCTTTATGCGTGCAAAAATCCAGCAGGATTATACTGTCAGATAGCTTTCAGAAATTGAACCTACATGCACACACAAAACAAGAAAATAATATGCACTCTTGTAATGTAACTTTACAAATGTGGCCTGCCATAAATTATGTAAATTAATTAAAATGCTCAAAACTCACTGTACTATAAAATACTGAACACAATGAGACTTAATACGAGAACATTAAGAATTTCAATCCTCCTCTGGAAAGATAAGATATCCGTCTCATTCTCTTTTAGCTACACTATCAGAAAGTAGGAGAGTGGGGGCAGTTGAAACAGAGGGTTGTTTGCTCCTCCAAAGTTTTATTGTGGTGTTTTTTGCCTTTGCCACAGATGCTCCATGCTCATCAGCTGCTGTGTTCCTCGGAGGGAGGGAGGGGAGGGAGAAAGAAAAATTGCCAATAACATGGTACCCTTAAGTGTAGGCATGCATAAAAAATTGCTGAAAATTGGGTTGTGGTATGTGTTCTTATTTTAGATTTGCCCTTGTTAACGTCTTTTTAATAAACAGGTGCATACACTTCCCCAAGCTGTCACTGTTGTTTACCCAGTCTGCACACTTTATAAAATCGACTAATGGAATAGACCCAATCATCATAAGGCTCTGTGTTAATAAACCAGAGCTTCAAACTTTTCATGAAAATACTGTTACAATATAGCAATTCTGATTTATTTATTTATTTGATAAAAGCTTTCAAGCTTTGTTTTTAAAGATAAGCCTATGTCTCATTCTGGTGTTACTTACGTTCATTCAGCATGATATTGTAAGTAGCATGTTTCACACACACTTTACAGAGTTACAAAACATATATGGGTTGGGGAGAGATAGAGATGAGGACTTTGAGGGGGGAAATAGAAATCAAGTATCAACTGGGATTTCAAATTAAGTATAATATTGTTGTATGTAAACATACAGAAGGCTCCAGTTACAATGCTCTGCACAGAGCAAGGCTCTTGTACCATGAAAGACAGAACTGTGGTAAGACTATGGGAAAAGATAGAAAGAGGCAGCATTGAAAAAGTAAATAGTGAAAGAATATTTAAGTAGGCTGGATCAATAATTAAATTACCGATAGATTAATAGATGAATATGCTAAAGGCATTAACTTTATCTTCCTTTCGCTTCCACGTCACACTACCAGCAATCAGGTACTTCTGTTCAGTCAATCTGGGACAGATAACTTTAATGGTACAGAACACAGAATTGCTGCAAGTAACAAGTTTCTGCATCAGTCTTTAGCGAACATGTCGCTTGCAAGATGTGCCCGACTGATGGACCTTGTGAATTTATGTTTAAGTTGACATATCCAATTATAATCTCCTAAAGAGAGATGATTTTTATGATGTGAACAACTGTCTGTAAGGAATACGACTGATCTACTTCACAAAATCTAACAAATTGCTACCGTAAGGGGGGACTACTTTGGGATGCTACTGGCCTTAGTTGGGCTCAAGTCTGTGGCATATATATGAAAAGGTTCATAACCCATTATAAATCCCTGAACCCATCCAGCCCCCACTATTTAAGTAAGAAGAACCGATTGCTGTGGATGACTTCATAGGGCTACAAGCTGTTTGATTAGACTAAAAATATTTGAGTACTCCCTACCTTGGTCTGTTTTGCTGTGCCTTGATGAGAAACAACACTGATGATGCAGCTTTTACTATTAATGTTGCTTTTACTATTAATGTTGCTTTTTCTGGGAAAACAAAAAGCAGAGGGTGGATTTTTTATAGTAGGCAGATGGAGTGATTTACAGTGGGGTGGGTGGGGAAAGCACTAAAGTACTAATTAGGGGCATACTCATTAGGCCAAGCAAATAGTTAATCCCTGTCACATAGGGGTAACATAGTTGCCAACCTTGAACTCTAAATTAAAAGCACTCTGAGTGCAAGAAAGTGTTCTTTTCTGCAGCTTCCTCAGTACCATCCCTCTACCATAATACTGTGGTATTTTTCTTTCTTTAAATTCTGGGCTCCAACTAATTACTGGCAGGAAGTGCCTATTTTTATGCCATTCGTATGCAAATGAGTGAGAAAAGTAGAAAAATATTCTCAAGGAACAGTTACAATATCTGTCCATAGATTACTAGCCAATTAGAAAATGGTATTATAGCTGCGGGACGTTAGCAGAAGACTATGGCCAAAATGTTTCTGGGTGGGAGCCTGAAGTTTAACTTCAATGAGACCTGTAGATACTTAGTCCCTTTTCTCTGAAAATGAGGCCTTAGGTGTCTCAAGTTGGTCACTTGCAAATTAGTAGAAACGCTTTACCATTTTGGCCTTCATTTCGCTGCCTCAATTTGTGTTCTACCCATAAGATAGGAGTGAAGGTGTGCTGAGAATAAATAATATAACAGGACTGATGCTTCCTGCATTTTGTAACTCAGCATATCTACTGACAGGAACAACGTTTATAAGATGAGGGCTAAATTTTGCAAATGTTATAATATGTAAATGTTTATTATTATTTACTTAAGATTTTTAATATTTCTTGCTTCCACTTAGTCAAAACAAAACAACCCTCCTCTCCCACCTTGCAAACTGCCCATCTTGTGATATTTTGGCCCTTCAACTTATGATGGTATTCGTATAGAGGCACATGACAACGCGAAACCATCTGAAAACAAATTAGCTCATTTTTTCTTGACTGTAAGAGAATACCTGATTTTTAATTTAGGTTAATCCCTATGCAGATTGGGCTCCTTTCCTACCCAAAGCAAGGAAAAAAATGTAATTCTTAAGGGCACTGTCTCACAGTCCTTACACAGTTAAACTTCCTGGGAATGTTGCCTGTCTTGGGCTTCTCCTATCTTTATCTCAAGCCTTCCTTTCAAAAAGTAGTTTAGTCTACTTCCACATACCTAAAGATAGTAAATGTGCTAAAACTGAGTCAAGGCTAGAAATCTTATTTTTGTGAAAACCTGTCTGAGGATCCTTGTAACTCAGGCTGGGGCACCTGAGTTTTTACAAAACACACCACCATATCACCTATATCCTATGCCTGAGATCTCAATAGTTATAACACCTGCAAAAGTTTGATTCTCCACAGGAAAGAATATACTCCTCCTCCAATCCCTCAATAAGCCTGATTATACTCGCTTTATTTTGCTTCTCCCACACCAACTCCTTTTTCATGGTTTTTATCTTTCCTCAGCTGCACTTCAAATTCCTTTTAGTACCTCTTTGTTTTCCCCTAAAATCATCATCACCCAACCTCCTCTGGTATTTCCCAGTCTTCATTTTCCCCAACATAGCACTTCTTTTTTCCAGTCTGCTTTGTAGATGCTGTAGGTTGTGAAACCTAGTAAAACTATCTACTGTAAAATATCCTGGAAATGAACCACCTACTCTTTATGTACTCTAAGCTACTGGGCTAAGAAAACACCATTCACTTATCCACAGTATGCACTTATCATTAAGTTAATACAAGCAATGCGTATTAGCACTGACAGCCTGTGTACTTAGAGTATTAGCAGCCCTGCAACTGCCTAGCTCCCATCATTTTCAATGCTGCTTCTAGCAGTATGGAAACTGATCATCCAAAGTTTGAAAGTGAACGGAGTTAGTTCCAGGGCTGTTTGTCAGGAGTCTTAAAAACTGAAGGGAGAGGGCAGTCTTGAAAATGATGGAATTGGTCAGTTCCAAAGGCTTCTAATAGCAGTCCCATGACAGCTGCTCTCTCTTTACTTTCTGGCAGACTTACACAGTTAGAAACTAGACAGTCACAGCTAGCATGTAGTTAAGGGGAGTACAACTGCCTTATAAAGCTGACAGTGGGGATGAAAGCTGCTATGCACTGAAGTGGTCTATGCACTTAACTGACTCTGTCCTTACAATACAAGGCGGTGGTTCTCAATCTATTGAGGCTGGAGGCAGCCCTGGGCAAATGCCAGCTCTTACTTTTGACTTGTTTTACTCGTTATTCTTCTGTAGTTAACTTTGGTGACGAAGACCCCACACGACAGCTGCCTATACACGTGCTGCGGATGGGACATTTTAATTAGGGTGGTACCACTCTAAATAAAAATTACTGTGACACAGATTAAGCCCCGCACCTTTCAAAATGGCTGCGAGGGTGCTTTAGTTAAACCTGGTGAATACGCTTTAGTTAAAGCGCCCCCACAGCCATTTTGAAAGGTGGGGGGTTTAACACGCGTGATGGTGAGGGGGCTCGTTCCTGTTCCGGTTAGATGAATGGAGTCTGCTCTGACACCTAACTGAAATACAAACAGGCACGTCTGCGGGCATGATGATCTTCCAAGGTCCCTTTCAGCCTTACAATCTGTGAATCTATAGGCAGCCGTATGGGCCTATGGCTGCCCCTACACGTGCCGGTTTGTTAGGACTCCATTCATCTAACTGGAACATGAACGAGTCCCCTCACCATCACGCGTGTTAACCCCCCCACCTTTCAAAATGGCTGCAGGCCTGCTTTAGTTAAACCTGGTGAATGAGCTATAGTTAAAGTGCCCAGCCATTTTGAAAGGTGGGAGGCTTAATACCTGTCACAGGGAGCTGTTTTAATTAGAGTGGTACCACCCTAATTAAAATGCCCCACCCGCAGCACACGTATAGGCAGCCATCGTGTGGGGGGAAAAAAGCCATCCTATCCTGTTGTTGTCTCGCTGAGGTCTTTGTCATCAAAGAAACTGCAGAAAAATAACAAGGGCAAAGAAGTCAAACGTAAGAGTACCCTTCCTGTGGGAAAACCCAACCCCACTCTACAGGCAATTCTCACTTCGCGTTCATCGCTTCCCGAAAAACCGGGCACGAAGCGAAACCGACCCGAGACGGCGACCGCGTTACAACGAAACTCGCCGCGCGCTCAGCAGAACCGGGGATCAATTTAAAATGAGTGTCGTGGCGAACCCTGCTGCCGTCTCGCTGAGGTCTGTCACCAGCGTGAACCCCGGAAAAGCAACGTGGAGCAAAACATGTCCTTTGCATTTGTGAAGAGAGGAGGTCCGGGCGCCGGGCTCGGCCTGCTCGGGACCACGGCCCCTGCCTGCACAGGAGCCCAACATAAACGCCTTCTTTTTTCTTTTTCTTTCCACCCCCGCCCCCCGGGCGAAAGCGGGGTCTGTTTCTTTTCTCATTTTACCTCGACACAACCCACTACTGACGCACCGGGCCTAGCTGGCCGGCCGGGGATGACGGAGGCCCGGGCAAGGGGGCGCCCATGGCGGGGGCGGGGGCGGTAGCGCGGGCCGGGCCGGGCCGGGCCCGTTGTCTGCGGTGCGGAAGCGCTGTCGGC